CTCCCCACTCAACTGTTCCAACAGTTTGTTTCCAGTCTCCACGTTCTCTCCTTTCCCGTTTCGACTGCGGGGGTGTATTAGCGTATATTATTATTATTTATTATAGTTACCTTATACATTAGGTTACCTTGTATATTAGATTACCTTGTGTAGTAGGTTAGGGTTTCCTACATGTAACTATATATATTCTCAATATACGTAAGAGATATGATTCTCTCTTCTCTCCAATTATTCTCCTTCTATCATGATTGGTTAAGTTACTCAACTCGCACCCGAGCAACCCATAATCAAGTCCTAGCAACGGGATCATAAATTACTCTCACCCTATTAGTGTATCAAATTCATTGTAGTTTAGGTGGGCAGGTTACTTGGCTCTCACCCAACAGACCTGTGTTCGAGTCTTGGAGTAGCGAATAATTTTGTAAAAACAATGTTGAGGTCGCTCGCGCCCAAACCGTGCGCAACCGAGCGCCCGATTTGAGCGTGAATCGGGAGTTTGCGCGCCCAGTTTGGGTGTGAAAAATATTTTTCGGCGCCGATATTGGTCGTGAGCTACGTTTTTCTGATTTATAGAACAAAAACGAACAAATTTTACCTCATTGGATTGTGTATCCAATCCTCATCCGATACACTCATTTTTCTTTGTAAATCGCTACAATAAGATGGGTATCGGGACGATTTCTAATATAAAGCCTTGAGAAATTCTTTTTCTAGAAGGGTAAATTACAAGCACCCCCTGAGTATGGTCAATTTATAAAAAAAACATCATCTTGTTTGGATAATTACATCTACCCCCTCAACTATGATTTTTTTCTTACACCTCTACCCTTATGGTGTTAAATTCAACATAATCATCTAGATTTCGTGGAATGTGCTCTAGTTTGTAATCATTTTGTGTAAAAATACAGTTTTTGATGCACCACAATTTGATATATACAGCAAAAAAACACATATTATGATCATTCTACTTCAAAATGTGGAGTTCGAATGAGATAAATCGGGTACAAAAGTGATAATATTCTATATAATCTCGAAGATTCCACTAAATTTGAAACCGCAAGGGTGGACGTGTAAAAAGATTTATAGTTGAGAGGGGTGGTTGTAATTACCCAAACTTGAGGATTTTTATTTTTGTAAATTGACCATACCTCAGAGGGTGGTTGTAATTTACCCTTTCTAGAAAGAGAGGTAGAGAGCGAATTATTTTAAACCCGTATTAATAAGAATGCTACCGCGAATATCACTTTCTTTAAAAAAAAAAAAACCCAAAATTAAGAGTTGAGGGCTAAAAGAAAATTAATGGATTTAGGAATAAGGGATCTAGTATATATATAAGGAAATATTTAAAAAACCTAGTGCACACATCTTCTTAGGAGAACCAATGTACAATCTTCATTGGCAGGGCCCATAACAAAGATAAGCTTGTTCGAGCTGCCGTGAGCCAACCCACCGGCCCATTGGGCACCGGGACAACAATGGGCATACCACAATCCCACCCAAAAAGTACATAAAAAATATTTGTGCCTAGTAGCAATTGGAGCTTTCTTATAAGCTCATACAAAATTCACATATTTTCAATGTGAGATGGGGGTGTTACAAACTCCCCCAGCTTAAATTCTTAACACCGCCAAGGCCCAGGCCAGCAGCAGTCGAAGACCTCCCCGATAGACGATTAATGAACTCTTGGAGGCCCTATAACAAATACCAATGTACAATTCCCATTGGCAGGACCCATAACAAAGATGAGTCTGTTGGGGAAAAAAGTCAAATATAAGTAGAGGTTCTTGAGGGATTCCAAAATATAGATTATACCCAAAATTTCTAAATATTTTTCTTAATATGAGAATTTTTTTTTCTTCTGAGAAAAGTTTGAGATTGTACTTGAAGACTCGAAACTAGCGGCCTATATTAAATTGATAAACGAAATAACAAAGTTAATTTTTTTTATTTACATTGTTGAAATTTTTATTTCCCTTACTTTTAATGTTTTTTTGTTCTTAAATAAATCAATCTTGGTTGAGATATTATTAATAAATTAACTATAAACACTCGTGCATAAAAAGATTAAGATAATATGAAATAAGAGCTTATTGAAAATACCACCCCTGTGTAATCTCTAATTGCCGAATACCCCCTGTGAAAAAAAAAACTTACTAACTCCCCCCCTATGTTAACATTTGCAAAGCACACTGCACCCTTTTTTATTCTAAGTTTTGACTAATGGTGAATGGACAAAGATGCCCTAAGGGTTTTTTTTGCAATTAGTAAAGTATAATACACCAAATTTTAGAATCACTTTAAATTTGTAAATATTATATTTTTATTTAATTATTAAGAATAAAAAAAATATATAAACAAGAATTAAATATATATTGTGATATTAAATTCTTATATGCATTTTTATAGTGTTTTTATATGTTAAGTAATGTTTATGTTACATTTTATAATAAATAATAATAATCATTTAAAAAAAATGTCTTCTTCCCTTTCCATCCACCCACCCACCCGCCCACCGCCGCCACCGGCTCAACTTGCGCTGTCTTGCTACACCACCACCACAACGATCTTCTTCAGATCCACCACCACCACAACGGTGAAAATCGTAGCTATAAACACACAACAAAAAGAAATATATATAAGCGGCGGAGGCGGCGGGGGAGAGATATCGATCTCGATCTCGTCTCGGTCTATCTCACTCAGATCTCGTCACAAGTAACCTTTATCATTCTTCAACTATACACAACTATCTCTCTATCACTAAGAAATGAGTGGTGCCAGACCGGTGGCGGCGTGGTTAGTGGGAACGAATTTGAAGGAATGGGTGGAAGGCGGTGTAGTGGGAACGAACTTGAAGAAGGCGGAGGAAGGCGGTGGTGCGAGACGGCGCCGGTGCTGAACTTGGAGGTGGGTGGGCCGACGGGGAGAGGAAGAAGATGTGATTTACTTTTGCTTTTTTGTTTTTGTTTTTTTTTTTTTTTGTTTTCCTGTTTCTTCTTTTTATAATAATTTTGGAAATTACAATTTAGTCCTATAAATTTAGATTATTTATAATTAAATCAATCTGGTTTTTTCCCTTTTTATAAATGGATATTTCTATCATTTCACCCTGAAAATAGAATAAAAACATCGCACAATCCGCGAGTGAGAGACACGATTTGCCTTCAGGGGTCCGGATGGCTTGACTTTGTTAACATAAGGGGAGTTAGTGAGTTTTTTTTCTCACATGAGGTATTTAACAATAGAGATTACACATGGGTGGTATTTGCAATAAGCTCTATGAAATAATGCATAAGTTCACAAAGAATATTAATTTTATATGACGTCTCACTATTATTTTTCTGTTAGAGACTTTGAGTCTCTAAAATATATTTAGAGATTCACATTGCTTACTTCATTGAACTTGTTCTAACGATACTATGTGTTCTAGTTATTCCGGTCCATTCTATTCCCCTCTTTTACTTGAATTTTGAAAACACTACTACAAACTAATGTGTTTAGTTAATTGTCTTGCATTTTGTATACTACAAGCCTCAAATGGTAAAAGTTTAATCTGCTTCCGAAAGAAATCGAAGAATTTCTTGGGAATCCTACAAGATTGGTTCGTTCTTTTTTCTCTGATAGATGGTCATAACTCCATCTGGGTTCGAATCCTACTGAGAAGTCTACTAGAGATCAGAAATTGTTGAAGAAACAACAAGATCTTTCTTTTGTCCCTTCCAGACGATCGGAAAATAAATAACTTGTGTTAGCGTTTTTCAAACTTCACAATAAAGTGTTTTATTCAAGAAATTCATATTTTTTTTGAGGAAAAATTGGCAAAACTCCATCGTATGCATTGTATTGTACCGGAAAGATTGATACAAGATATATAGTAATAACCAATAGATAAATGTAAAGTTTTTGGAAAATAATTCGAATTCCGAAAACATTTTTAAAAAATTAAAGTAATATTGGAAATCAAAATCTAATATATGTTCCAATTATGTTGGAAGAAAATCTGAAAAATCGGAAATTGCAAATTCATAAATTGGAATAAAAAGTATTATTTTAAAATTAAAAAAAATATTCAAATTGAAATCGATGAAATACACGTTTTCAGTACTCTAAATTTAGTCAATAGTATATGTAAGCCCTTTGGCACTTTCCACCAAAAATAAACATAAATATATATATTAAGGGAAATGATGAATACATAACAACTTTTAAGAAATGTAGGGTACTTTTTTTTAATTTTAAGTTTTATCTTTATTTTAAAACGTATTTTAGTATTTATGGACATTTAATATAAAAATTAATTATCGTCTTATATTTATCATTGACGGCTTATAAACTACATTTATTCTCGACAACTTCCAGTCTCGAACACATTTAAAGAAACTCTAAATTTATTTATCTTTCATATTCAGTATTGAGTATAATTAAATTTATTTGATTTCTAGATTAGTATGTTGAATTAATTCAAAACTTACAGTCAAAACATCCAAATCGCAAAAGAAGATCGAAGATGTGTATTTACTGTGGATAGGTAGAGATGGAGAGGTATACATATTTATACTGAAAATTACAAATAAATACTATCTAACTATGGATGGACGCAAGCCCTATGGTTACTATGCCCCCTTTCCGATAATACCATTGTTGTATTGAAGGATGGCACAAAAAACAGAAGACACGAAATCTGGCACATAAAATATGAATTTTTTTTACCTCACTTTCAGTCGTATTATCCTCCAGAATCAATAAATCTATGTTATTGGCGATTAATGATAATTAATGGTCTGAAATTTAAGTTTTGATTTTTTAAATAAAATGTCCATGTTTACTAAAACTCTTCATGTGATATTCTCCTAACCCAAGATGGAATATATAATAGGTTTTACATTTTTAAAATAAAATATTCTACATTAACTAAAACTCGTCCTGCATTTATCACCACCCATATATTAATTATAAATATTTATATATTTTACATTATATATGTAAAGCCCCAATTTACACACACACACAGACAAATCTTTTTCTAAATTGGTGTTTTCAAACTCTGCACTCCCCAGCAGCTTCAGATTACAATTTCTAATCCCACACACAAATCCACACACTAAAATCGACGAACAAAAATGGTAGGGGAAGAGAAAAGGCATCAGATGATGCAAAACTTGTTCGGCGACCAATCAGAAGAAGAGGAAGAGGAGGAGGAGGAAGAGGTTGAATCTGAGCACGAATCCAATCGCCAACCTGATTACGCCTCCGTATGGATTGAATTTTCTCTATCCATCTTTTTTTCCCTTTTTAAATAATTTTATTCAATTGCCCCTCCTTTTTTCTGATAAGATTGATTTTTTTTTTTTTTTTGGATTGAGTGACGTTTATTAGGTTTTGTGTGAGGCATGTAAATTGAAATTATCCTCGCTTTAAAAAATAGAGTGATGTTTTTTTTATGGTATATCAAATTGTCTGTTTCGTGTTTCTTCAGAGTTTGCTCGTTTCTTTTTCCTCATAGGTTTCATTAAATTGATATTTGAAAGGTTCAAATTGAGCTATTCAATTATCTGTATTGCAGTTTATTGGGTGTTGTTTGAACATTTACATTTGTGCTTGTGGAAAATCAAATTTTAATTAGAAAAAATCGCATTTTTGCATTGGAATTTGCTATTTTCTAATTAATAGTTTAAAAAAAAAAGGTTTTTAGGAGATTGATGTTCTGTTTTACTGAAGTAGAAGCTATTTTTTCTATTGCATTATTCGGGCATAAATAAAGTTGGATTTTAGTCACGATATTAAGTTTAGTTTTTGGCGAGTTTGTTTTGTTTGAACGGCAATCAATCACAAGTTTGCAGAATGCACGGATGACTGAGTATGAAATCATAATTTTACAGTTTTACACTCGATTCGTATGGTAAATTGGTAATTAGAGTTAATAATCATCTTTTAACAGGACGAAGGGGATGGAGGACCAGAACCTGAAGATAAAGGTGAAGAAGCAGAAGTTGAGATTGAGGGTCAACCTCAGGAAGTGGATCATATAATCGGAGAGAGCGAGAATGAGAAACACCAAAGTTCTCAAGAAGTTGAAATAGGCGACCAAAGGGAAGAGAGTGAAGAAAGGTACTCGGAGAGTGACGAAGAGGATTATGGCCAACCCGTTGTAACAAGCAAAAGGCGTGATGCAGTTGTCAGCGGATCAGAAGAATCTGCCGAGAACAACTATGCTGCTAATGAGGATGAAGAAGTCAATCACGCTAGGACTCCTAGTCCTAGGTATCTTGCTATTCTCTCTCTCTCTCTCTCTCTCTCTCTCTCTCTCTCTCTCTCTCTCTTTCTCTCTCTCTCTCTCTATATATATATATACATACATACACATATATATAATTTACTTCCATGGATATAATAATTTTGCAGATCACCTGGGGATGAGAAGGACGAGGATCAATTTTTGAATTCAGCTCCGGAGATTCGCGATGTTTTTGGGGACTCTGATGATGAAGACCAAGCAGAATATGAAGCTCAGAATCAGATAGAAGAAGATGAAAATGTTTGTGAGAGGAACATTATTGCAATAAATTAATGATTTAGTTTAGGAAATGTTGGTTTGTCTGCACCAGAGGTATACTAACATATTTATCCCCGATACAGCAATCGCCCGTCGATGAAGAGAGGAATTATGAGAAAGAACTGAGGCCAGAGGATATAATACACGATGAAGATGGTCCGTACTACTCTGAAGAAGAGCAGGCCGAGGCTAAGCTCAAGGAAAAACCAACTGGTCCGCCACTGGAGTTGGAAATTCCTCTGTGCCAACCTCCAGCTGAATCCAACAAGGTTTATCTCTACTCCTTTTCCGTTTTATGCACTTACTCAGGACTTTGAGTATTCAAATGGATCAGTTTGTATTAATCTCGATTCCATTACATTGAAGTTTACACTCTTGATAATCATTCAAGGAACAAACTTTTGAATACAGTGAGGATGTGTAGTGAAGTGAAGTTACAGCGATACCTTCATATACCTGAATTATATAGTCAGAGCAGCCTGTAAATTATGCAACTGTTGGTTGGAACTTAGGCTGGATTTAATTGATGTTTGTTAGGACTTAATTTGTTTTTAGCAGGAAATAGAAGATCAGTCGGTACTTTTCACAGTTAGGAAGTAATAGCCGGGTTTTCGATTGTAGATATGAACATTAATATTCTTTTGTTACAGATGAATATGATCAAAGTTTCTAATATAATGGGGGTAGATCCTAAACCTTTCGATCCTCACACATATGTGGAAGAGGATCTTTATGTAACCGACGAATCTGGATCACAAAAGCGGATACGGCTAGAGAATAATGTTGTTCGGTGGAGGAAGGTCAAAAAACCAGATGGCACATCATCTGTAAGTGAAGTTGTCCTTTTTGCACTCCATTCTCAATTTCTCACTCATTTGATTGATTGAAATTCTTAAATACTTATTATCTGTAAATTGCAGCAACCAATCATTATGGATATTTTTTTCTTTTTTATTATCATTATTTGCTTGGTTACTATTCTGACGCTTTCTTTATTAGATTACTTAATTTATGCACTAACATTGGAGTTTCGTTTTGTGTTAAATCACATACAATTTCATAACCTATTCTTAATTTGGGTAAAGCATGAATAGCCCTGCCATCTTATATGTGTTTAGATGAGCTATAGTTTCTATTTATTCCTTTAAAGTTGGATGTAGTAAAGATAAGAAAAGAACATGCATAACTTATTCGGCCTCTAGCTTGGTTCTGAATGTGCGTACATTTTTTTCTAAATGAACTAAAACACCATAGTATGCATATAGTACAAGATGGTTTCAGCTGTTATGACTAAGACCTACTTAAGCTTGAGATATTTCATGCTTATGTTCCAGTTGTTGTGTTTTATATATGAATGTACATTGTGATAAAATAAGTTAGAATAGAATCAGGAAATTAACCGATAAACAAAATTAGATTTTCTAGACATGTAACCTTCGGGGACTCAGGCACACACACACACACACACACACACACACACACACACACACACACACACACACACACACACACACACACACACACACACACACACACACACACATCTTGGAGGTTTTGGAGTGGAATTATAACTCTTGGCCGGTATTGGTTTTTCTGTGTGGTTAGCACATGAAACATGCAAGTGAGTTTAACAAGGTCTGAAATATTGCTTTCACTGTATTTGTTTAATACAACTTGTCTTAAATGGTGTTACTTGAGTAGAGACGACTTAGACTTATTACCTTTGATACATTGATAGCTCAGCTTTGATCATTGGAAGCCTACATGAAATGCAAGAAGCCGAAAGTAGAAATCTAGGAGTGAACTGAAAAACAAGTACTACTGATTTCTAATTTAGGGGACGGCCAAGCTATGAAGTCTATAATACGATTAAGCTCATCAATTCCATGCAAATGCTGATGTTCTGCATTCATATGCCTTTGTTAATCTCATTACAGTGTGGATTTTCTGCAATTTCTAATAGAGATTCCAAAAGGGTCCACTATATCATGTTTACCAATTGAATTACTAGATTGACCTCAACCTCTCTGGATGTTAAGAGAGTTTGATACAGCTTAGGTTTTGCCATATCCCGAGTATCTTTGATGTCTCTAGGTCACATGTTTAAATGCATCTTCGTAAGTAGTAGTTCAATTATGCATTCTAGGTTTCATTTCTGAGCATTGGGAATATAACTTATTCTTGCTGTAATTGGGACATATAACCCTTCCTGAAATAGCCATATGTTTGAATTCAGTGATCTCATATATCACTTACTAATCTGTGTAGATTGAAAGCAATGCTCGCTTTGTGGAATGGTCAGATGGGAGTCTGCAGTTACTTATTGGAAACGAAGTGCTTGATATATCTAAGCAAGATGCTCAACACGAACAAGCACACCTTTTCGTCAGGCATGGAAAGGTAAAGTTGGTTTATTTATTTTTTATTTTTTAATTTATTTATTAAATATATAACAAGCAATAAGTTTGGGGATTTGCATGGAAATGTAATGAGCATAAAGATCTTTGGCATCTGAAATTTCTCTGCTGGCTGCATCCATCCTAGTAAATATGATGGTCAATCTTATACTGATCAGCAGTTAATATAGTCTTTCGCCTTTGCAGGGTATTCTCCAATCTCAGGGTCGAATTTTATCAAAAATGAGGTTTATGCCATCATCCTTGACTTCAAAATCTCATCGTTTATTGACCGCACTTGTTGATTCACGCAACAAAAAGGTTTACAAAGTCAAGAACTGCGTCACTGACATCGACCCTGAGAGAGAGAAGGAGAAAAAAGAGAAGGTAATCTTAATTCTCAGTTATCAATCTAATTTATCCACCGTAGCTCATTAGCTTAATGAATCTTCACTTTCAATCTCTTATTGGCTTCTTAGGCTGTTAGTCAATCAATTAAAGCTACTGAACTTCTTAGTCGGAAGAAGGAGAAGGTAACCCGTAAATATACGCAACCCATCCGTAGGGAGCGTCAGCTTTCGCCTGGTTTTCTCGAGGATGCACTTGAAGAGGTTAGAATGTTGTTTCATTTAAATTTTTCTTTCCGAACTAAAATGTAAAATACTAGGCATCTTTTAATTGACACTTAAACCTAACTACAGCAGAAAAAAGAAGAAGTTATCTTGTAGGAAAATAATTATTATCGTGTTTACATTCATTAGGAGGACGACCAAGATTATTATGGATCTCGGAGATCTTCTGGTCGCCATCGCTTCGAGGAAGACCTAGAAATGGAAGCTCGAGCAGAGAAGCGCATGCTCAATGCAAAGAAGGCATGTGATAAAACTTCGTCACTACACTCTCGACTCTGTCTGATGGAATTTGTAATTTACGCTAAATCTTGAAAAATAAGGATTTTATTTTATTTTTTATACTTTCAGGGACATGGGCCTAAAGATGTACCTCGCAAGGGCGCCTCGTCAGCTGCTAAATCATCTCGATATCCGGTGGACTTTTCCGATAGTGAGAAGGAGGAGTCTGAGTACGAGACTGAAGGGGAAGAAGAAGATGAACGTTCACCACCACGTAGAAGCAATCAAGAAGATGATGTTGAAGAAGATGAAGAACGTGAACAAGGAGAGGAAGAAGAGACTTATGCAGAATCAGAAGAAGAGGTAATAAGCTAAATTTTCTCTAAATCACATTTAGCACCCCTGTGTTGTATCAAATTGCTAAAGTACTCCCTATTTTATTAATATTAGCAAAAATCTCCCTATGATACATTTTTTAGCACACACCCCCCTGAAATCATGAGTTTTTTTGGCGGTAGTTTACTAAAAAAGTTGAACTATAGAGGGTTTTTGCTAATATTAATAACGTGGGTAGCTTTTTAACAATTAGAGTAAACACGAGGGTGTTGAATGTAATAAAACCAAACAAATTAGTGCCTTGACTTGGGTTAACCCGATAAAAAAATCTGCAGTACAGATTTAACAAGTTTTGCTTTCGGAATACTTGTTATGTGTTGTGTGTGTGTCACAACTCTTCGGCCCAATCAGTTTCTCTGAAATGATGCCTAATTTCCTTTCTTGTCGATTATTTAGCAGGAACCCAAGCAGAAGAGTAGGGATTCAAGAGGCAGCCTAAAAAGGAAGGAGATTGAGTCAGATGAGGACTCTCCTCCAAGGAAAGCTACAACCCATCGGCGAATGAAAATGGTTTACGAGAGCGATGACGAATAAGACGACGATTTTTAATCTTACAAGATATTATTATCTTACTCTCTCTCTCTCTCTCTCTATCGCAAGACTTTCCGCAACTTGCATCTTCATGTGTACACTTTGCTAGATTTTATAGAGAACTATTACAAATTTTCTCTTAAAGGTATATCTACATATATGCAATTTAATGCACATTGTCAGTTTGTCAAGTCTATTTCGGATGCATATACAATATATATATATATATATATATATATATATATATATATATATATATATATATATATATATATATATATATATATATATATATATATATATATATATATATATATATATATATATATATATATATATATATATATATATATATATATATATATATATATATATATATATATATGTTCATCAAAGTGAAGTATCTTTGCTCATATGGGACTTCTAAGAGATGTTTGGATGTTAATGGAAACGTGACATGTTGAAATATGTAGTAGTAAGAAGTATCTTTCGTCATCGCTCTTGTAAACCAAAGTGCATATTGATAATCATGTTGGTATTTTGTCATGTGATAAGTTTTATTATTTGATTTAGTTAGAATTAGTCAAATTATATGTTTAATTAGTTTGCATGAATTAAATTAGTGGGATAGTGTGAATAAGGGGTTAGTGGGGTGGTAGTTTAATTATTATTTATGAGTATTATAAATAGGTTAATTAGAATGTTACGTATATTATGAAGTTATGAATCAATTAATCTTCTTTGTCTTCTCTTAATTCTCCTAATCCATATCTCTCGATTTCTTCTTAATTCTTGAATTATGTTTCCTTGCTCAAATTACCACGTAACAATGGTATCAGAGCTGTTATGTTCCATGGAGGCACGTAACCAGTCAGATGCTGAATTTCGTGCTAAGGTTATTGAACCCTAGCTCGACACGAATTCAATTTCGACAAAATACACAACACCCTCCAAATTGCCTTCACCGAGCTTCGAGCTCTAAGAGCCTCTTCCGAACTCGAAAATGATGTCAACCCCTTTGTTGTGGGAGAAACATTACTATTGGTCAAGCAAAAAATAAATATACCTACAACACACTCAACTCCAAACCCTGCCTCAAATACAAACCTCAAACAACAAATTCCAAAAGTCGCGGCGGAAAACGCAACGGAATGGATTTTTCAAGCCAAGCAATATTTTGAATTTCAAAGTATTGCCGAAGATCAGCAGGTGCACCTCGATTACTTTCGTTTGGAAGGAATCACTTTTGAATGGAATCGCAGGTTAACTGGGTTTAAGGGCCCGTGGGTTTAAGGGCCCGTCAGCAGGGGAAAATTTTACTAAGGCGTTGCTCTACTGTTTTAGCCCTACCGAATTTGACGATCCTTGCGAAGTCCTCACTTGTTTCATGAAACAAACATCCATTGATGCCATTTATCAAGAAGAGTTCGAGCGACTCCCTCAAATAATTGATGGATCACCAAACCAACTGAATTCACAAAACGATCCCATACACGTATCAAGACTATATCCTTGAGGACAAGGATATTTCGAGCGGGGGGAATGGTAAGTTTTATTATTCGATTTAGTTACTATTGGTCAAATTATATGTTAGTGGGTAGTTTTTAATTAGTTTGCATGAATTAAATTAGTGGGATAGTGTGATTAAGGGGTTAGTGGGGTGGTAGTTTAATTATTATTTATGAGTATTATAAATAGGGTAATTAAAATGTTACGTGATATAAAATATATGAATCAATTATCTTCCATTGTCTTCTCTAATTCTTCTCCTAATTCTAATTCTCTTAATTCATATCTCTCGATTTCTTCTTAACTCTCAAACTATGTTTTCTTGCTCAAATTACCATCTTGATACAATGACGAGGAGTGCCAAATGCAATCGTCAATTAACGAATGCAAATATTTTTAGAAACAAAAGTAAACACATTTAACTCTCTGTCACACCTCTTATTTTTTTTGGCTATTTCAAAATTAAACACAATTGTTTGAAAATTTAACTCCAATATCTTTATATTGTAATTTTGACCCCAATTGACTTTTTTTCTGAAAACCTTTTTCTTTTCTGATTTTTTTTTCCCGACAGGTCAACCGTCGGTTTCCAGCATTGATTTTTTTTTTTAAAAACTTATTTTTTCTTAAAAAAATATTTTAATTAATATTACTGGCTTGGCCTGCGATTTTACTGTATTTGACCGTAATATTACTATCTCCAATAGTAATGTTACTGTCTCATGCAATAATATTATTGTTTAAGACAATAATATTAGTAATATTGTTGTTCGAGACAGTAATATTAGTAGGGACAGTAATATTATTGTTTGAAATAGTAATATTACTGTTTGGATCAGTAATATTACTGTTTTGGCATTTAATATTACTATCTCACACAATAGTTTTGTTGTTAACACAATAATATAGAGAAAAAAAAAGTTTCAGAAAAAGAAAAGTCAACGTCGGAGACCGCTGGAAAAAGTTTCAGAAAAAAAAAGTCAACGACCTGTGAGACCTGCGGTTTATCTGGTCGGAAAAAAAATTTCAAATTTTTTTTTATGAAAATGAGGGTTAATGTGATATATTTGATCAAATTCAGGGTCAATGTGCAATATTGATAAAGTTAGAATATAATAGATGTAATTCATGAAAATTATAGTATGAAGGATATTTTAGACAAAGATATGAGAACAGATTATGTAGACCTATGTTCATTTAAGTCCTTGTGATGGACATATTTACTGTTTATATATATATATATATATAAACGGATGGAATTCTTAACCAAGGATTGTAAGCTTGTAAATATATATAGACTTGTACAGGGGTACCATATTTTTATCTAATCTATTACAAACAAACAATAAACTATACTTTTATCTCGATGTCGAGAGATACACTTGAATTGCCTATCGAGGGTGTAAGATTATCATGTTAAGCAACGAAGTCAACATAACATTTAAGGAGTATATGCACTTTAGAAACCAGGTATTTCCCGACTTTATAATAGAACGGTGGGGCTGGTCCTAAGATCACGAAGCCCTATTATAATATGGTTTTTTGACACGTACCTTTTTATTTTGATAAAGCAAATCTATGGGCTTTTTGTATTTATAAGTTTGTTTAGTTCGTATAAATGATAATCTACTGCAATATATAGTTACCCAACTTGATGATTAGTGGTGAGATTGATTTTATACGATGGCTGCGAGCGACTCCATAGAGATTCATGTTCTATTACATTTTAGAAGATACCTCATACCTATAGTTAATAGATTTTTTAAGGAGCTTCTTAGGAAACTTTACAATTTTGTTATAAATTTCTACCTACAAATAGTTACTGGCGCTCTGTCTTACCGATTATTTTTGTGATTCCAATAGGATAAAGCTTGATGAAGAATAGACTGACCGTGACAGCGTGACATGTCAACATTCTTTATTACAATATTTAAAATTAAGAATTATTATTATATATTTTTTACGAACTCCTTATTATGACCTCGTTTGCTTAGTGTTATTAAGTTCTATTGACTTAAGGTGTCCGTTTGACTAACCTTATTATAAACAGTTGATAAGCTCTAATGTCTCATAAGTTGTTCTAAGAGTTGGTAAACTGTTAAGTCTTATTTTTTGAATCAATCTTTAAAGTGTTTGGATAATGAACATATAAACTATTTTTACCCATTAGAAGATCTTAAATTTAAAAATTGGGGTAATGGTATACAATCTTAAAAGCTCTTCAACATATTTAAAAAATAAAATTACCAAATACTTTGAAAGAGCTTACAAAATCTTAAACATCTTATAAGCTTTTTTTAACATTCCTTAAGCTTACCCCGGGTTGGGTAAACTTATTTAAATCATCTTATAAGCTCCTACATCTGATAAGATGTTTTAGGAGCTACAAACTGCTAGATATTATTTAAAAAATTATTTTTAAGGTCTTTGGATAAGTAACTTATAAGTTACTTTCAGTTTATATGAGTTGTTCAGATGTTTGGAAATATAAAGTTTGTTTATCCCCGTAACGACAAAAGGTACATGACGCCATTATAAATGTTAACTTATTTGACTCAAATACTTTTGTTCCTAAAATATTATTAAAATATTTACAAATTATTTTTTTCAAATAAACATAATAATATAAAATTATAAATTAAATGATCTAAATGATTTTTTATGTTGATTTAATATTTGACTATTTAAAAAAAATAAAATGAAGTGTAATAAAATATTTTAATGAAAGAAGTTTGTGAAAGTTTTAATTTTTTGTTCCATTAATGTATAAATATAAAATAAAGGTTCTTATTTTGTAAAAGAAATATAATTTTATTATTGAGATAATAAGAATATACGAGTATTTTTATATAAATATAAAATCTAAATAGGGAATTTGTTGTTGCAATTATTATGATAATTATATTTTAACTAATTATTAATGTTGATTACAAAATACGTTGTTTGGATACAAATATATATGTTATTGGTGTGCATGTAATATAATAAAATACTTGCTGGTAATTTTGTATTTTGAGTGTTTTGAAAAAGTGTGGTGTAAGTACTTTTTCTCTTAAAAATATTTTATAAGCTGTCTAACAACTTATTTTTGAAAAAAATAAGATTTTTCGTAAATTTTTTACCCGACACCATTTAACAACTTATAAGCTCTTAAATATCTTATAATGTTTTTATGAGCTTATAAGGTTAGCCAAATAGGCTCGTAGATCACTCCTAAATGGTAAACTGCTACCCGACAAATCTACTTTCAGGCAAATAACAAGAAATATAATAAGACATGCTCACAATAATTCTAATTTCCACAGGAAATAATAAGGCATTTTCATAGAACTAATTATATAATGAAGATTACCCAACATATGTCATTTTTTCCAGGATTATCATAGAATAAATGCACTAATGATTTCAAGATAAATATATACTCCATACATTTCATGCCATTAAATGGATCTACCATGCATCTCTTACGAAATCGAATTGCAAGGATTAAGGCTTACTTGAAAAGCCGAAATTCAAATATTACAGAGACTATTATACATTCTCTCAGAACACCATTTCACGAGCAAACCAAAATTTGCAAATTATTCAAGTATCTCCGTTTCACAAACGATTGCATTTCCACGATCACCCAAATTACAGATTCTTTGAGTATCCTCGTCTCACGA